GGACACGGGACACCGACAGCGGGCACCGGGCATCGGGCGCTGAACACCGGACACCGGCTGTCGGCAGCGGGCACCGGGCACCGAGCACAGGGTACCGCCACCGGACAAGGGGCTCCGGGCACAACCACTGGCGGCGGGCACCGGCACCGATACAGACTCGGACACCGGCTCCGGCTCCTGCGCGCCCGGCGCGGCCCGGTCCGGTGAGTGCCCGCGGCGGGGCGGGACTGACCCCCGGAGCCGTTCGGGTTTGCGGATCCGTGTCCCCCCGTGCCCTCGGGGCGGTGTCCCCCGCCACCCCGGGGTGCTGGGACACCCGCTGTCCCCAAATGCCCTTTCCCCCGGAGAGGGACAGTTCCCACGTCCCCTGTGCCACCCCGGGTGCTGGGACAGCCTCTGTCCCCGTGTCCCCTCTGCCAGCCCCGGGAGCTGGACAGTCGTGGTCGCGACGTCCGCTGGGACAACTCTGCGAGTGGGAACAGCTCTGGTCCCCACGTCCCCTGCCCCATCTGTCACCCCAGGGCGTGGGGACCGCCCTTGTCACCAAATTCTCTGCATGCCTGGGAGCTGGGACAGCCTCTGTCCCCATGTCCCCCTGCACGTTCTGACACCCTCAGGAGCAGGGACACCCCCGTGTCCCCTGTGCGCCACCTCAGGGTGCAGGGCTGTCCCCACGTCACCTGGAAGCGACCTCTGTCACCCGCAGGGATCGAGGGAAGACACAGCTCCCACGTCCCCGGCACCCAGGGACACCCCACGTCCCCTGGGAGCACCCCCGGTGCCCCACGCCTTGCTGTGCCACCCCAGCGAGGGGACAGCAGGGACACTCCCTGCCTGCCCTGAGCAGGACGGGGACCGTGCCCCCCGGGCTCTCTGGGCCCTCTGTGAGGTCCTGGGGTGAGGCTGTGCCCCCACAAACCCCCCCCGTGCCGCCACACGGGTGGGAAGGGGCCGCGGTGCCCGTCCCGGTGCCACCGCCACCCCGGGGAGGGCAGGGAGCCAAGGTCCCCACGGGCGGCACAGCCACGTCCCAGCAGGGCGGAGGGCCCGGGGAGGGCCGGGGGGGGCCCGGCGTGCCAGGCCAGCGGCGCTGACACCCATTTCCTGCCATTGCAGCTCCAGGAACAATGGCAGAGCCATTCCTCGTGGAGAGCCCCAACGTCACCTACAGCAAGGACTTCATCGAGGCCAAGTACACCTACAGCACCGTGCACGTCTGCAAGGAGAACGGCGTCACCAAGGTGGGCAGGGGGGCGCGGGGGGGCTCCGCTCGTCCCCGCCGTGCCCAGCCGTGCCCAGCCGTGCCCAGCCGTGCCCTCTCTCTGTCCCCAGGTGCGGCCGTGCTCCACCCGCTTCACCTTCCGCACGGGCCGGCAGGTGCCGCGCCTGGGGGTGATGCTGGTGGGCTGGGGGGGCAACAACGGCACCACGGTGACAGCGGCCGTGCTGGCCAACAGGCTGGGGCTGTCCTGGATGACCAAGACGGGCCGCAAGGTGGGTGTCCCCAGCGAGCTGGGGGTGTCCCCAGTGTGGCCTGAGTGAGGGGGGGTC